ATAAAAATTAGCCTAATTCTGCAAATCAATTATTTGAGCCTAACCTCAGTGTTAGCAAAGATTATCTCATTGAGTCTAACGTCCGTGTTAGCCGAGACTACTTACTAGAATATTTATCTCTACATATGATCATGTGGCAGTGTGACGGACGTACGTACATATAGTGACCAGTGAGTGTGACGGACGTACATGCATACAGTCATGTGACAGTGTGAGGGACGTACATACATATGATCATGTGGCAATGTGACGGGCGTACATACGTATGATCATGTGACAGTGTGACGGACGTACATACATATAGTCATGCGGCAGTGTGACGGACGTACGTACATATAGTGACCAGTGAGTGTGACGGACCTTCATACATACGGTCATGTGACAGTGTGACGGACGTACGTACATACAGTCATGTGACAGTGTGACGGACGTACATACATATAGCCATGTGGCAGTGTGACGGACGTACATACATATAATCATGTGGCAATGTGACGGACGTACGTACATATGATCATGTGACAGTGTGACGGACGTACATACATATAGTCATGTGGCAGTGTGACGGACGTACGTACATATAGTGACCAGTGAGTGTGACGAAAGTACATACATATAGTGACCAGTGAGTGTGACGGACGTACATACATACAGTCATGTGACAGTGTGACGGACGTACATACATACAGTCATGTGACAGTGTGACGGACGTACATACATATGATCATGTGGCAGTGTGACGGACGTACGTACATATGATCATGTGGCAGTGACTGCCCCCTATAACCCAGAGACATGTGAGTTTGACTTACGAGGGAAGGTCCCTAAATGCTTAATCGCTTTTTATTGAAACCTAGTGGACAGTAGGTAATCGACTATGCTGAATCGAAATATGACAACCATTTGGGCGGATGGGTCTCCAGAGATCGGTATTTTTCCAGAAACTAAAAGATAATCAAAGCGTTTCTTAATAAAGGATGATTGTAGCCGGTGTATTTCTGATTAAAATGAGGCGTCCCCCAGCTCCACATGACCTTCCTTTGCAAAGTTATAGAATTTACAAGAAAAGCCCTAAATGTTCATTGTTAGCTCAAAGCTACAGAAATAAGACGAAATCAATTTAGAGTTTTTCTTTGCAAATTCTATAACTTTGCAAAGAAAGGTCGTGTAGAGCTGGGAGAGGTTATAGAAGGCTACAATTATGCTTTATTAAGAAACGTTTTGGTTATTATTTAAAGTTTCTGGAAAACTGGTTTCCAAGGAAACTGTTCTCTGGAGATCCATCCGCCAAAATGGTTGCCATATTCGGATTCAGCATAGTCGATTACCTACTGTCCACTAGCTTTCGTTAAAAAAGCGATTAACCACTTAGGGACCTTCGCTCGTTAGCCGATTCACCTTCGGAGCCAAAAGTATTCCTGAAAAACCTAGAGCAGGATTTCGCTTTGGGGAAGCATTTTGAAACAAAAGTTTCGTTACAAATGTTGTTCAGAATCAAATTATACATCGAATAAACTGAGGAGTTTTTGAAATTTTGAAAACTCGATTTTTAAACACCAAAAAGCACTGTTTTTAAAAGGCGCGTATTCTTTTTTCTTTTTTTTTTGAGTTGGTGTATTCGTCGATTAAAATCGTTTCATCCTTTCTTAATAATAATGATTATTCATAAATCGTATACAAAGTTGGATGAAAATGATAGACAGTTAAATGAAGAATTTTCAAATTTGAAACGAGAAATACACTTAGCACTATTTGATTCAATTGATACGCCAAAATCTATGGATCACATTCGAGAATTGATTCGACTCACAAACATTTATATGAATTCAATGAAAGTAATCAATACATTAGTAATTAGAAATATAGCATTGTACATCACAAAAATGTTATCTATATTCGGTTTGATAAATGAAAATAATAGTGGTGATCAAATCGGATTTGGCAAGCCTGTACAGAATATAAATGAAACAATGACGATTGATGTTGAACAAATTGCAATGCCATACGTTGAACAGTTTTCACATTTTGGTGATTCGGTTAGAAGACAAGCAGTCTTATCAAAAAATAAAGAGATATTAACATGTGAGAGATGTTACATTACCAGATTTAGGTGTCAGATTAGAAGATGGAGGTAAGCTTTGAATATCTTTTATTGAAATTTTATAGTTTACGCCTAGTATTCATCCGAACAGCGAACTAAAATGCTTTCGTTGATTATTTAAGGCATGCGTGAAAAACGTGTTATCAGTTCTAAATGTACTTAGGGTTATCCAAAAGTAGTGGCGGAGGTACTTTATTTCCGTATAGAAAGTTTGAGAAAACTTCAATCTGTTTTCAAAAGATGCGCAATTTAATTCTCTACGAAACTTATGTCGACTGTATCATACTGTAAAAGTTTTACAGTAATGAAATTCCAAATTCTAGAGGTCAAGCACTTCGATGGAATCAAGTTCAACCACTTCCCACTGAATTTTGGAATTGTTCGTGTGTCCCCACAAATATCGGGCTCATAAAATACGACTCACCAATAGATAGTCCTTAAAAATGTCTACTGATTGCATATACTTAGATATTTTCATTGCTACTTTCTACGCCTTGAATAACATTTTTTCTAAAAGTCATATTTCGAAAAATAGCGCGATTTTCCCCTTCCAGCTGCTGTCTTCAGAAAACACATTATGAAAAAGCCATTTATAGCTCAGAAAAGATCATTAATATAAAGTTTTATACGGAAATGATTTACCTTGCTTCCTACCACAAAAACAGTGAACAAATATTTTTATAGGGTTAGGAAATAGTTAATTGCTGCAAAGGAGCGATTTTTATGATTAAAATTAAATAAAATAATTTTTGCTACGGCAACAGATACCGGGTCGAGAAGATATTATATATCTTTGAAAGAGCTGTTGATGCACTATCGAAAAATGAATACCTGATCTTCTGACTATTTGTCATTACTACAGAAAAAAATTCACGAAACATTCTGAGAAGCAATGAGAAGTGGTTGAATTTGATTCCATCGAAGTGTTCGACCGCTAGAATTTAGAATTTCATTACTGCAAAATATAGTCAACATCAGTTTTGTAGAGTATTAAATTGCGCATCTTTTAAATACAGTTTGAAGTTTTCTCAAGCTTTCTATACGGAAATAAAGTACCTCCGCCACTACTTCTGGTTAATCCTAAGTATTTTAGCAGAACACGATAAATTGACTAAATGCGTTTGCTGCATGTCTCATTTTGAGGAGCACAGATTATTATTTAGGGTGTGAGAAAATTCTACTTATAATGGTTAAGCTTTCGTTGTTCAATTCGTCATTTTTAAAAACTGTTCGTTTATAGTAAGTATTTCAGTAGGCAAGTAATCGAAAAAATATTAGGTATTAGAAAGATATTCGAAGTACAATTTTTCACATAAACAAAAAACTGACGAATGCCATGTAATTAGTTTTAAAGATAACAGTATATGCAAATATAACATACGAATATTAGAATAACTGTAGTTAAACGTTGTTTGCAGCAGTGCTTAAATATATTTAACTAATCTGTTTTTTATGTCTTTTGAGAATTTTTTTTATCATTCATGGAATCTTTTAGGCGAAAAAACGGCGATTAAGTTTTGTGATCCAGAAATATTACGAAAAGAACGTGAACAAGCATTATTAGTTGAAAAAAGTAAGCAGGCAAAGAACGAACGAAAATCATGAGCTTAGTTTTGAAGCTTTTCATCAAGTGTGATTGACTACTTTTATTTTTTATTAATTTGTTTTTTGTTATTTTTATCAGTGTGTTACATTGTTTTTTGTTATATCTTGAAAAGCAGAAATATAAGTCAAGTACTCCTCTCTTTCTGTTCGTCTATATAAAGATGTATTTCATGTTCATATAAATAAAATTGTTTTATATTACAATCTATAGATGTCTAAATCTACTCAAAAATATGAGCGTTTCACATCTCGCAAAACAAACACTATGAAACCAAAACTTGTCAATGATGTATCATTATTGGTTAATAAAGATGCGATAAAAAATGGCATACAAAATTTATGCTGCTCAATGATCGCCAAATTCAACAAAAATTACAATAGTTGACGTCAAACACAAGTTCAAATTGAAATCCTATTCTTAATATCTTGTATCAATCGGTAATGAATTCTGTTGAAAACGATTAGGATTAATTGAACAATGTTTATTAGCTGTTGAACAAAAACAAGAATTTATTCAGCACGAAGTTAATAAACGGGAACATCACTCAAGAACATTTAATCTTCGATTTGTTGGTATATCTGAGACTGATAATGATAACCCAGCAAAAACGATAGTATCATTAGCACAATGTGTTGGATTAAATAACCTAACTGAAGTAGATGTTGAGATTGCACATAGATTAGATGCTAGATTTCACTCAAGAGTCAAACGTTGAACATCGATAAAAAGAAAGAAAGTGAAAGAAACGAGCCATGTGACAGTTTATGCAGATTTGACAGAATTTAATAAAGGTCTGGTTGATGAAGTACGAAACTGCTTAGATGATACTGATATAAAGTATGCGTTTACAAGAAATGATCGGGTCATGTATAAGTATGAAGAAAAGACAGCTTTTATTGGTTCATATGCAGACATTAAATAGTATTTTTCTGTTTGAGGTGTAATAGATTGTGTTGACCAGTCGACTGTTGTTATTTCTCTCGTTAGTCAAATGACGATTTCATTCTTGCTCTTGTTTTCCATCTCATCAGACCATAATCTTTTTTTTTTGACATGCACATTTTGGCTTCATGGAAAGTCCTTCTCTATTGTTTGTTGTTTATCCATATATAGATTGTATAAGGAGCAGCACATTTGATCATATGACACGAAAAATCCAAAACTCTATTCCTTTCTGTTTTTCCAAAGGTGGCGCGTAGGCAAAGACTGGGGGCACAGCATAGTGTGCATTTTTGGCTAGGAGGCGAGCATATCTCATTAAAGTAGAGAGAGTACAGGTCTACAAAAGTTTTTCATATAGGTTTTCGAGTGTGCTCATTCCAGTGGCACTGCTTTCAAAGTCAAAAAAACAGTTTTTAAGAGGTTTGCTAGAGACGGGATCTTTGGAAAACCTTTTAAAAACTGTTTTGGGACTTTGAAAGCAGTGCCACTGGAATGAGCACACTCGAAAACCTATATGAAATTTTTTTATAGGCTTGAGCCTGATGTTACAACTGATGTCCGAATATGCAGTAGAAAACTTCGTGAACAATGTCTTCATCCGCAGGAATTTGTAAAATCTGTCGTTTTTGGGTCTAAAACCTCTCTTACTGTACATCAGCCGATGCAGTTTTTTGCGCTGATTCCGAATATGCTATTTTTATCACATTTTGAAACATTTTAGTCCGAGAAAAATGGGAAATACTTGAAAAACCAAGGGTTTTTGGAAAACCTATAACTCCTTGCAGAAGCGTCGGCGCTAAATGAGCATATTTACTACATGTTCATGCATATATGAGCCAAGTTTGAACCAGTTTAAAGACCGGATGTGACTGGGATACCCATTCTATTGAACACACCGCTTCGGAAAACTCGCTAGAAAAATGTTCTATCTTTTTTTTATAGATTAGAAAATTCACAAATAAAAATCTTTTTTAGCAATCGGTAGAGAATTCAATACAGATTCTAAATATGTGTTTGTGTTTCTAAAGACTTACTCTGATTTTTGCATGTAATCCAGTTTCCAACAGCACCATTGTTTTCAACCAATGTTTTCTTACACTGTAAAAAAAATTTATTTTCTGCTTTATAGAAAATCGACCTAGAAAATCGTGGGTGATTTTAAAGCAGTCATAATATCGTCACCGATATTATGCCGAAGTAGAAAATCAATATTTTCTAGAAAGTAGAAAATCGCTTTGAATTTCTAGATAGAAAATCGATGTGGATTTTATGTAATGCAAAAAATCCCTATTGAATTTTGAAAAATCTGTGATTTTCTATTCGAATTGAAAGATATTTCTTTTTGTGTGAACACTGACATTGATGCATACCTGGTTCTGTTACATATTTTATCTTTATTTTGTCAGACTACTTTCTCTTGTTTTCTCAAGAAGGTAATGAATTTTGTAGAGCAGAAAATTCTCTATCGAATGAGTCTAGAATGGGGTCTTAGACCTTCAGTTAAGTCTCGAAAAAAAGAGAATAAAAGTGTCATATAATATATGATACTCCTGTAGCCAAAGGGTTAATCAGTTTTAGCGAGATTCTGCTGCTTTTTGTGGGATTACATCCTGTGTTTCAACTTGTTGGCCGGTGATCTCTTGGCAAAGTATGCCGGGCGAAAACGATTGTTCTTGTCTAGAAGAAAAGACGTTAATGACAGTGGACACAATGGTGGATCCAGCGGACATATGTTTTTAGTAAAAAAAAACATTTTTATCCAAAATAATTGACTTAAAAATTTTATTTCTATGCCGACTGCACGTACCTCATACTTAGATTCAAAGATATTGAATAAATAAATGTTTGGCTATTATATATTAGTTATATTATTCAGTACTATACTACTGTACTATACTATTCTAGTCTTAGTAACTTTAAATCTGTCCGGTCCAACGTTCTCTTTCCACAACGGACAGTGACTGAAACGCGTTCGTTACTAGAACTATTTTCTAATTAGTGTTATGGTTTTCCTTTCAGATTTACGTATTTGCTTCTAGATTATTATAATTTACATGTTCCCAGGACCATGATTACGACGGTCGTAATACGTCAGATTACGACGTCGTATTTTGACGTTTACGATAGTATTTCGTCGTAATCTGACGTGTTTCGTGGAGAAGTATTGTGATGATCGTAATACTGTCATCGTATTTTCTCATAATTCATCATAAACCACAGTTTACGACAGCCGTAATCCTTCTCCACGGTTCCTCTTATTGTATTTTGAAGTAAACTGCAGTTTACCGCTGTGTAGCTTCGACCTGGGTTTTGTGCATTTCACCAGCTTTCTGTTTTCATCAAAATAAAGAAGCGGATCGCTTCAATAAATTTCCCTTCGATTCTGTTTCTCAAAATCTCACAGACATAAACTAATAGATAAAGTGGAAGAAAACCATCTTTCGTTTATCATGTTCTCACTTTCGAAAGAAACATTGCTTACGCAAAAACATTTTGGTCTTTTTCACCATAAACGGTAAATTTCGAAGTGCTTTAGCGATGTTTTACTTTGAAAAAACTCACAAAAGTTGCGCACATGTAGAAAAACTAAAACTATGAGTTATTCTCCGAAAAGGCTTCGATTCTCCTACTTTTCGACTATCCTGAACTTTAGATACTGAAAAATACTCTCGTATGCAGAAGTGCTTTCTCCTTCTTGGCTTATCTACGGCCAGAAAGATTTCCTGTTTACTTTCTGTGTTTACAGTGCTTCATTCTTTCTGCTTATTGTTTACTTTCAGATATATTTTGTTTAATCACCGACGACCGACATTATGACTTCGACGGATCACATCCCGAAGAAAAGGCCGGTAAGATGTGATCCGTCAAGTTTCGTGCTAAGTTAGCGGCCTATAAATATCCCTATTCAATATACATGATGACGATTTTAACAGCTACGTTTATAACTTTAATATCTCCCTTCAACACGAGTTGATATGATTCATAGTAGACGCACAGAAACAGTACTAAGAAAAAAGCTCTAACGAAGAAAAGAAAAATTTTTCTGCTCACCATGCGAATCTATCCCATACAGAACTCTGTATGTGTTACATGATGAATCCTTATACGCTAGAGCTCTAATATTTATTACTATGTTAGCCTGTATTGAATGAATATAAACTTCGAAAAGAGAACTATAAGAACTATAAAAATTTTCTATCTCGAGATTTCCCTGCTTGATATTTAAAGCTCACACTTGTTTCGTGATTTCTCGTGATTTTTTATTCTTTCGAGATTAGACTCTCGAGACTTTTGGTATTTTCTACACGCTGTTTTAAATTCAGCATTCTTAGTTTTCCTGATTTATTTATTTCCAAATTATACTATATTGTTCTCTCCAAAATGAGCGAAAATTGGAACGAATCTATTGTTCTCGCTAATGGTAACGAAAAATTGAATGCATCTGACGAAGATAAGGTCGAAATTACACCAATATCAAGCGATGAAGTACGTGGTTGATTTCATGTATGCACAGTATAGATCAAACTATACGAATATTTTTACTTTTTTTACAGACTAGAAACATAATTTGTACAGTTCGACCAAAATCACATTAAGAGCTGTGTTTGATTAGCACCATCTGAGACTCGAACTTGTACAGATAATTTAAAAATGGTAATTCCATTAAAAGATTTATGTAACTTGGATAACTTAAAAGTTTATCTTTCATGGTTCGAAAAGCTATTCACTTCAACAGGTCTTGCATGATGCTCTTCTCGGTCCTATCCTCAATAACCTAGAACTATGTTTCGTCCGAGGCTATTCAAACGGTGCTTTCATGATCCAAAGGATTTTGTTGAGTCTCACTCAACGTACACCCGGCAAATGTATTAGCCTAGCCCAAAGTGAACATAAACTAGAAAGCATCGAGGCACGTCGAAGGTTTCTCTCCAGTTTTTATGCTTAATTATATCTAGAATCTAGAAGATGATAGAAAAAATAGAAGACTCCTAAAACACCCGCGCGTCTCGGACAACTTTTGATGGAGTAGTGAAATTTCTGAAAATTATCAAAAACTGATTTTCCCAATTTCTGAAAGAGTTCGAACACTAATTCTTACCAAATAGACCTCTTCAACAAAGCATTTTGGAAAGAGAATGTCAACGGAAAAGTTATTGATAATCTCGGGTGCAAGGTTTTCTGAAAATTGACAATTATGA